TTTAACAAAGAATCGGAATGGTTTCTTTTAAAAAGTAACTTAACGAACATACATATTTAAAAAAAGCATACAATTTGTTGGAGTCAAAAGTTTGTGAACTAAGTACATTTTATTTCAAATCATTTTTATTGAATTAAATTTTGGATTTCAAATTGGTAACACAGTGGAGATATATAAAGCTAGCTAAACACATTTTTCTGAAAAAAAAACGTAAAAAAAATTAAAAAGTGCGCTGCCTGTCTTAAGTGTAAGTAAACAAAACTTTAAACATTTATAAAAATCCAACCAAAAGTCAATTTAAGCAAAAAAAATATTTTGAACTTAATTTTCCTAAAAGCGGGTGTTTCTTGAAAATGACCAAAATTTACCACGATTATTGATGGCGACTGGTGACCATCGATAATCCAGAAAATTTGCAACAAAAAAGTAATTTTACAAAACAGTATTAAAATTACATTGTAATTTTACACCCATATAATTAAATTTACAAAGTAAAAGTCCTTGTCGTCCATTCCAAGCCCATGGACGGGACACATCAGAAACATGTCTAAATATATGTTTGTTACTTCCTTAAGTTTACTTATTTTTTCTACGAGTATTTATGAGAAGTATTAGTGAAATCAGAAGAAGTATTTTGATTAAATCGAAATAACAAACTTTAGTAACATACTAGATATAAGGCCAGATAAAACTGTCCATGGACGGGACATCTAGAAATTTTTATTTTTTGATTTTATGGCATAGTCATATTTCTCTAAACTAGTGTAAAACTTAATCACTGAGGTTAAAAATCTTAAATAGTAATAACAAATCTAATATAATTTAAATTTAAAATTATGAACAAGTTTTTAATAATTTTGTAAATCGTATATATTTTACCGCGGCGTTCTCTACAGGCTGTATAGAATCAAGCAAGTAAGGCTGGAGACAAGGATGACAAATTATATTCTGATCAGAGAAAAAGAAACAAACTTTAATTGGGCGTGGTTTAAACCAAGCCATTTGTAATTACGAACATAGTTGCCAGGTTGTTTTAAATCAGAAGAGAACGATTATAATTATTTAATAAAAAGTTCAATTTTATTTGTTTGAAACTTTAAAAATAATATATCAAAAATATTTTGATTTAGTTAATTTTCTTACTTTTAATATTAAAAAATAAGAAAAAGAACCCTTTTTGGAAACAATAATAGCATATGGCAACAGCGGCCTAACCTCACTTTTTTAGAATCTCATTGATTTATTAGCATGTATGTCTTATAAATCAAGTACCACAAAGCCCACAAAACTCAAGTTTGCTTTTTCTTTTATCTGTAAAGGCCAGGAAACCGAGAGTTTTTGCTATTTTCACAACATTTTATTAAAGTGGATATAGCCGGTTTTGCACGGATGCTCCTCAAATGTACTTACAATAATTATTATTGCTTTTAGAAGCTGTAATAGTTTGACAATACCTAGCAACATGATTTAAGTAGAAATGGATTTTTGCTATTACCTACATTGAATTCAATTAATTGTTTAATAAATAGGTAGGTATCTAATTTTAATTTAAAATATAGATAGTTTGGAATGTTTAAGCTGTGTTTAACATTTAATTTCACTGAAAACTTAAAGCAAATTAAAAAGATAATTTAAATTGTAGAAAAAGAATCGTGCGTTTTCTTGGTTGCCTAACCTCACTTTTTGTTTTAGTGGGCGGGGTTTGACACTTGTTTTATTTAAGTGTATCTATTCGTTTTAATTCGTTTTAATACACACTATACCAGGCGAGAGTGTAGCCTCCACTCCTGCATCAAAACTGTGACGTCAGGAGGCCGATCGGATCAACGTACGCCTATTGTATTACATTGCTTTGCAACCAAAGTTATGGATTATTTTGCTTTTAAGGAGTATTTTTTACTAAAGCAGTGGACAATGCATGAGAACATATTAAAATCAACAGAACAAATCAAAATCAACAGAACAATATGTACTAAGTAATTTATTGAAAACAAACAGAGAACTGCTATTAAAATAGTAATTTATTTAAACCAAAGAGAACTGCACAAAAAAAAATAATTTTGTAATTTTAAAATATCGATTGTTTTGGATTTGTATAAATGAAATTTATTAATAAGTTTATAATTTTTATAATATGGAATATTAAATAATAATTTTTTTAAGTTAAATTTTTTTCAAAAAAATTGTTTAATTTATCTATTACCCATAGTAATTATACTTTTTTAAATATTAAAGTTTGCTTAAAATACATTAATATATTCATTTAAAAAAGAAGTTTTCAAGAAAACAATAGATTTTATTTCGAAATAAACACAAGTAAACTTATACTTATTTGAATTAAGAGTATAATATTTTTTTATAGTGTTGGTTATTTAATGTAAATGAATATTTTTTGTGTATGTTCATGTTCATGTTCATGTAATTTATTTATAACAAACATAGAACTTTAAAATAAAAAGTTTTCGGGGCGCATTAACATCTTGTTTTCTTGCAGATATTATTTTCCAGTTTCTTGTAATTAGACAACTGTACGTTACACATGACTGGTTATTTTTGCAAGTCTGTCGGATAACAGCTTATTACATATATGCAAGGATCTTAAAACTGTTTTTATAAAAAATATTCTAGGTAGTTTATTATAGTACCTATTTTGGCATCAAAATTGTTTAATATATTCTTCTTTTATTGGGCTATTAATGTATAGAAACATAACATAAAAGAAACATAAGCAATATAGCAATAAGTAGACATAATTTTAATAATTGACTGTTGGGGACGGGACAAGGGATTTTTTTTCTGCTGAATAAAAAAAGGGGTAGCAAGTGTTTTTTGCCCAGAAAGTCAAAAAACCTCGGGCCGGCTCTGACAATCGATAATTCATATGAAACTGTCTTGAATTACCGCGATAATATATTTATTTTCCTGTTGCCTCTTTGGAACGCAACATTTTCTTTGTATTTTTTATTTATTTATAAAGTTAAATCGAGCGATATCAATAGCAAAGCAATAGATAATTTATAATAAACTGTCTCGTATTACCGCGATTATAACATTAATTACATTAATTTGATATTGCAGTCAGTCTCTTGACGTCACGCCTCCCACTACCACACTCTCGCCTGGTATAGAGAACGCCGTGATTTTACCCATGGACGGGACAAAATAAATTAAACAAATTTGAAAAATAAATTAAACGGTTTTATTAACTTTTTGTCTAACAATACTAACAATTCTAATTTCTAAAAGCTAAAACTTCATTGTGGTCATTTTTTGCAGTTTGGCCTACCAGTGAATAATTATTGTTTCTCTCGCTTGGCCTGCAGGCATGAAATAAAGCTTACATTGAATGCCTTTGATTGGTAAAACTTTTTCCCAACGCGTTGCAACGTTTTGTAATCGTATTGTTGTATGATTCAATTTCGTCTGAAGATATATACAGCAAATTTATAGCTTGAACTTTTTTAGATACACATTCGTAGAATTCTCTTGCATCGTTGATACTTGCTCTTTTGGATCCTAACCAATTCCCAAGCGATTCTCTTTAATTTACCACCCACACCGTCTACGGCACCTTTGCCGTGGGATGTTGCAAAGAAATTCCAAATTCCATTAATTCCCAAATCTTGAGGCATTAGGGTGTTCCAAAAAAGTCGATAATTTTTTTTTTCGATTGCACGTGAAATTATTGTTATATATGCTATAAAAAAAATTCTGTAAAAATTTGAGCCCTTAATATCAACTTGAAGAACTCCATCATCGAATTTTAAGATTTTCCATTGATTTAACATGGAAAAATGATTTTTTAACCTTCATTTCTCCTGCAAACTATGTAGAACATTATTTTTCGGAAAAACCATCACTGATCCTTCTTCAGCATTAAATTCTGTAAAAAAAAGTTCTTAGGGTCCAGTCTCTAACGTCAACCCTCTCGTTTTTATTTGCGTTGAAAAATATAGATTTTTTGAAATTTCGATTTTTTCCATTTAATGTGTAAAATTTTTATCTCAGACCATAAAGTTTGAAAAAATTTTAGTTCTGAAAAAGATTCGAATTCAAATTTGAAAATTAATTGAGTTATATCTCAATTGTTATAGGATAATATTGATTTGGACTTCGAATGCAAATAAAAAAAATTACAAAATAAAAATTTGTCATTTATCACATAGATTTTATTTGAAACAATTGTTTTTGTTTTTTGGGTAACCCGCTTATAACAGGAATTGCAGATAAAGGAATTTTTTTTCTTTCTATTAACTGTTGTAATTGGAAAAATTCTTAAAAAATTTAAAAATTGTGTGTAAATTATATGTTACAGCCAAAAACTGTTATATTAAATGGAAAAAATAATAAAATTGAAAGAATTGTAAATTCAGCGTTTTGTTGACTGTTATAAAGAAATTTTGATATTTTGTTGATAGATTTTCAAATTTTTTGTAAAATTTATTATGATAGCGAATAATCATTTAAAAAGATAATACAAGACTCACAATTTTGGAGCCAAAAGTGATACAAAAAATTTTCTTGGCACAGATTTGTGAAACATTGAACGATCTACTAAAATTTTCTCAAACTTTATGGTCTGAGATCAAAATTTTACACATTAAATGGAAAAAATCGAAATTTCAAAAAATCTATATTTTTCAACGCAAATAAAAACGAGAGGGTTGACGTTAGAGACTGGACCCTAAGAACTTTTTTTTACAGAATTTAATGCTGAAGAAGGATCAGTGATGGTTTTTCCGAAAAATAATGTTCTTCATAGTTTGCAGAAGAAATGAAGGTTAAAATCTTAAAATTCGATGATGGAGTTCTTCAAGTTGATATTAAGGGCTCAAATTTTTACAGAATTTTTTTTATAGCATAAGAATTTCACGTGCGATCGAAAAAAAAAATTATCGACTTTTTTTGAACACCCTATTGAGGCATATAAAGTAAATTTAACATGGTAAATTTGTTTTTAAATTGTGAGGCACAGCCATCCGAGAAGAAGACAATATCTTTCAGTGAGGGATAATTTGTAAGTAGCTACTCAACAATTTTTTTATAAAAACAAAGGCGCATAACTTGTCGTGTGAAAGGTTATCAATTATTATGGCAAAAGAGTGGCATTGATCTTCAATCCATGCAACAGCAGTAAACACAGCAACTTGGTTATGACCCCAGTGAGGACTTTGTATCTCATCCTGGCTAATATAACTATAATTTTCTGCAAAATCGTCTTTCAGCACCGCCTTTGGATGAGATATATTGGCCTTTTCATTCTCAAATTCACGCTCCTGTACATGTTTCACGAAATAGTGGATTTTAAATAGTTTTAGAGATTTTTCTAGAGCCGCTACAGCAGCTGATAATGATCCAGAAATTTCCACAACTTTCTGGTTTCTCACGTTTTCCCAACTTTTCCAGGTAATAGGCAAATCCATATCAGTTTGTAAAGGTATTAGTGCATACTCGATATCATCTTCACATATTTAACAAACTCCATTCATAAATTGACTTTTGTTAATGTCACAGCAACCTACTGTTAGTAGATCCTTAGTTGTTTTAGGGAATGTTAGAATCACCTTTTGAATTGATTCAACAAGAAAATTAAAATTTGCGTGATAAATGCACACGCAAACATTATGTGGCATTAACGAACTTAACAAAATATGTCTTGGTCGATGTTCGTAAAATTTGGATATGCCTTATATTTAGATATAAGGCATATCCAAATTTTAGTTCAGGATATTCTTTTAAAAAAAAATAAGCTTCTTTACAAGATACCATCATATATATTTTTCTCTTCCGATGTTTCTCTTATGGATACTACATCTCGTTTTCCTGGCGCTTGCCAGCTGATGTTATCACGATTGTAAAAATTGATGATTTTTTCATTGACATATTCACTAACTTTATTCCAGGGTTCTGTTTTTGCAGATTTATCATTAAAAAGTTTTAAGTAGTAATTTTCTTACAATATTCTTACGTCTATCTTCAGTTTTTGGGAGAACCCTAGGGTTTAGTAGTCCAGTAGAACCCCCAGTGATTGTGGTGTTTGTTTTCTTTCTCCTTTAATTGTGTTTTAGATTTGACTTTCTCCCGGTACATTTTTTTGTAATTTCGCTCATAACTTTTCTTTATCTCTATTTGTGCAGCGCTTATAAATCCCTGTTCAGCAAGTTCCTTTTGCTTTTTCCGAAACTGTCTCTTTCTTTCCGCATCTTTTTCTTTAAAAGCTTTATATTTGCAAAGTATAGGGTAGGTACAATTTTATTATTTCTTGTTATGTTTTGCACTAGTATACATATATGTAAAACCAATGGACGGGACATATTTTAATTTTATTTGTCCTATGCAAAAAAGAAAAACGAACTATAATGACTTAGGAGCAGGGCCGGATTTAGCATGGGGCCAGCGGGGCCACGGCCCCAGGGCCCCCACCATTTAGGGGCCCCCACCAATGCAATATGTAGCTTTTTAATGAAACAAATATGAAAAAAATTGGCGAAAAAAAAAATTGGGTCGGTTATACCGCGCGAATCCTGTAATTTTCAATTAATTATTCGTAGATCTAACTCTAATTTTTCGCGGATTTTGTATCGCTTATTCGCTTGCAAATCAGAATGTAAATTATCATACTCAAAGTTTTGGCGCGCGAAGACGTTTTTATATAGTGTATAGTCGTAAGACTCATAACAATTTTAAGCAGTTGCTCCTTTAGTGCTTGTAGTAACGTTTTTGTAAATACAGGCAAACAGTCAATTACTTATAATCTAATATTAAAGTTAGTTTTTGTCCCAGATTTTTATTGGTACATTGGAGTGTTGTGGAATATTTTCCGGTGTTTCCGAAATACTGCTTCGTGCTTTTCTTTGGACAAAAGATTGTTTTATTGTTTGATTATGTATGAAAAACAGACAAATAATACGACTTTTGATGAACTTTTTTCCCTTTGCGGTATTAAAAATACAAACAAAACATAGATCAATTTATATTTTACTTGAGTAAAATGTATAAGGGTATACCATATATGATCGTATTATTAAAAATATATAAAATATAAATTATATAAAAACACTTTCATTCACTATTCTATTCTACTATTAACGTTTTTATAGTTTTGCATACGAATTTATAATTTCTCAGACTTGGGTAAAATGTATATAAGGTTATGTTCGTATTATTCAAAATATACAGGGTGATTCAGACTTGTGGTGACAAAAGCTCAGGGGAAATTCCTATCATCAAAATATGAAAAAAAAGTTTCTATAAACACGTGTCCAAAAATGCTTCACTATCTAGATACAGGGTGTTTCGTTTTTTATTTATAGCTTAAAAACGCGTTGGCCGATTTTATTAAAACTTATAAGTTTTAACCATATATATATATGGTTTATTAAATAATAAATGATTCAAAGATAATAAAAAATCACGTAAAGTTCGTCTAGCTTAAAAATGAACCATGCGTTTTAATTTCCCAACTGTCAAAATTTTTAGAAATGTCGGCCCCAGGACCTCAAAACTCTTAATCTGGCCCTGCTTAGGATCCAGTTTTTAGATAAAATGACGCAACTAAAATAGTTTTTAAATATATAGCACCTTTTTCCATCTCCAAACTTCATTTTTTTGTATTTTTGACCCATGGACGGGACAAAATAATAGTACTTATAAAATTATTAAAAATTATATATAAACACTAACCTTTTCATAAAAGAATCACTACCACTTGTCGCCTAAAGCAATTTGTAAATGTCAAAAAATAACGACGCGGTCAGGAGTCGTTTTGTTTGGTCACGGCCTACTCTGCAAAATACCACGAATTATTGCACTATTTTCGCATGTTTGTTACAATTATGATATATTTTTTTTTTAATGCATGCAATTTTTTATTATAATTTTTATGTGTTATTATTCTACAATTAATTCTAAACAAAAATTATTAATAAACAGATACTAATCAATTAAATGATATTTTACTATTATATTATTTTTCGCTTGGAATGGCCCTAGTTCAAATAAAATCATATTGTAAAGTTACTAGATTTCATGTTAATTTACAATGTAAAATTCCTTTTTCAGTAAAATCACAATGTAATTTTATATTCACAACATATTATAACATTAAAAAGAAGACATAATTTTAACAAACAAAAATTATAAAATTGGAAATTATATTTAAATTCATAAGTAACCAAAAACAATTTTTTATTTGATAATTTGTGGTTGTTAAAATAGTCTCTTCTTTTGATGTTGTGATATGTTGTTTTACATTTTATTGGAAAGCGTGGTTCAAGGAATATCTAATTAAAAATAACTTGGGATTGTTCAATTGACGGTGTTTTCTTTTTATACTTGTACGACTTATTTATCATTATTTTTTTAGCCATATATATATATATATATATATATATATATATATTGGGGTGATTCAAAAAAAGCCTTTTTTTAAAAATGAACCCGCACTGGCCTAAATTATAAAGTTTACATTAAAACTAAAAGATTGATACCAAAAAATCCAAATTCGATGAATATTTAGAGATCGCTCAAATCGATTTTCGTATTTTTGCACATTCGATCCGCGAAATTATTACTGCGCAAAATAGTAAATAACTCCGTTAGTTTTTAATCGATATTATTAAAAATTTAAGTTTTTTCAAGCAACGTATTAACTAACGAGTTTTGATAAATAGTTGGGGTAGACAGATTGTTCCTACTCTGTAGGTGATTAAACAAAAATTCAATAAAAATATTTTAACTCAATCATTTTTTGTTAGTTAGTAATATAAAATTAAATTAAAAGTTTAACCGTTAACCAACCTCACGCATGTGTTTATATTTTAAATTGAAATTAATTAATATTAAAAAATATTCAAAAAATATTAAATATTAACAAATTTTGTTAAAAAATATCATCCTTATATTTTAGCAAATGTACCCAACCCAACCCAACCCAACCCAAAAATATTATTATTATTATTTCTTTGTTTGTATCTGCAACAGGTTTTAGAAAAAGTGATTTCTTGGCATTAAAAATTACTAATTTTTTGGAAAATTTTCATATTTTGCATAATAAAATTTAAAAAGAATTTTAAATTCACACGGCGATTGTATTTCGCTGTGAGGGTGGGTGATTCGTAACATTAATCGTTGTATTAATTTTAGAATACAATCTAAAATTCTGATTTTTTGCAGACATATACTTGAAATGTGAGCGCTTCTAATAGCAATTCAGAAATTTTAAAAATTTCTAAAGATTTTGAAAAAAAAAATTCCATTACAGAATTATCAAAATCGTGCATCAAAAACTTTACCCTGCGGCGAGCTATGTGAATTATTGAAAATTTCTATACATATATATCGAGTCAAAAGTAGTTAAAACATTGATAAAGTTATTAAAAAAAATTAATTTGCTGACTTTAACGGTTGTTGAAATATGAATTTTAATGCAAAATTTAATTTCAAACGGAGAAGCGATTGCATTTCACTTTGAGTGTGGGTGATTCGTAACATTAACTGTTGTATTAATTCTAGAATACAATCTAAAATTCTGATTTTTTGCAGACTTATACTTGAAATGTGAGCGCTTCTAATAGCAATTCATACATTTTAAAAATTTCTAAAGATTTTGAAAAAAAAAATTTTAAAATAGAATTATCAAAATCGTGCATCAAAAATTTTACCCTGCGTCGAGCTATGTGAATTATTGAAAATTTCTATACAAATATATCGAGTCAAATGTAGTCAAAACATTGATAAAGTTATTAAATAAAAATTAATTTGCTAACTTTAACGGTTGTTGAAATATGAATTTTAATGCAAAATTTTAATTTCAAACGGAGAAGCGATTGCATTTCACTATGAGTGTGGGTGATTCGTATACGTATTCGTATAACATTAACTGTTGTACTAATTCTAGAACACAATCTAAAATTCTGATTTTTTGCAGACTTATACTTGAAATGTGAGCGCTTCTAATAGCACTTCAGAAATTTTAAAAATTTCTAAAGATTTTGAAAAAAAAAATTTCCATTACAGAATTATCAAAATCGTGCATCAAAAACTTTACCCTGCGGCGAGCTATGTGAATTATTGAAAATTTCTATACATATATATCGAGTCAAATGTAGTTAAAACATTAATAAAGTTATTAAAAAAATTAATTTGCTAACTTTAACGGTTGTTGAAATATGAATTTTTATGCAAAATTTTAATTTCAAACGGAGAAGCGATTGCATTTCACTATGAGTGTGGGTGATTCGTAACATTAACTGTTGTATTAATTCTAGAATACAATCTAAAATTCTGATTTTTTGCAGACTTATACTTGAAATGTGACCCCTTCTAATAGCAATTCAAAAATTTTAAAAATTTCTAAAGATTTTGAAAAAAAAAAATTTAAATAGAATTATCAAAATCGTGCATCAAAAATTTTACCCTGCGGCGAGCTATGTGAATTATTGAAAATTTCTATACATATATATCGAGTCCAATGTAGTCAAACATTGACACAGTTTTAAAAAAAAAAAGAAGTTGCTAACTTCAACTGTTGTTGAAATATGAAGTTTTATCCAAGAGTCCTGAAATGCCCGCTAGAATAATATAATAATTATATAAATATATATAATATTAATAATTATATATAATAATAATAATTATATATAATAATATAACTGGAAACAAATTTTCGAACGCAAGAACGAAAAATATTTTTCGTATATACGCTCTACCTGGAATGTCCTTAAAAACCCCGTATAGCGAGCAGTGCTCGGATATTTGAAACCCTGTATAGGCTTACTCTGTCTTGCATAAGCATGCTTTCTCTGTCTTGTTTGCTCTGCTCGCGCCGTCAGTGGGCGAGGCGTATGCTATACGGGGTTTTTAACGACATTCCAGGTAGAGCGTATTTTTCGTTCTTGCGTTCGAAAATTTGTTTTCAGTTATATTATTATAATATATATTATTATATATAATTATTAATAATATATAATAATTATATTATAATATATATTTATATAATTATTATATTATTCTAGCGGGAATTTCAGGACTCTTGGATAAAACTTCATATTTCAACAACAGTTGAAGTTAGCGACTTCATTTTTTTTAAACTGTGTCAATGTTTTGGACTACATTTGACTCAATATATATGTATAGAAATTTTCAATAATTCACATAGCTCGCCGCAGGGTAAAGTTTTTGATGCACGATTTTGATGATTCTATAATGCAACATTTTTTTTCAAAATCTTTAGAAATTTTTAAAATTTCTGAATTGCTATTAGAAGCGCTCACATTTCAAGTATAAATCTGCAAAAAATCAGAATTTTATATTGTATTCTAGAATTAATACAACGATTAATTTTACGAATCACCCACCTCACAGCGGAATAAAATCGCCGTGTGAATTTAAAATTCTTTTTAAATTTTATTATGCAAAATATGAAAATTTTCCAAAAAATTAGTAATTTTTAATGCCAAGAAATCAATTTTTCTATTATTATTATTATTAATATTCTAGAATTAATACAACGGTTAATGTTACGAATCATCCACACTCTTATAGTGGAATACAATCGCTTCTCTTGCATAAAAATTCATATTTCAACAACCGTTAAAGTTAGCAAATTATTTTTTTTTTAATAACTTTATCAATGTTTTAACTACATTTAAATCGATATATATGTATAGAAATTTTCAATAATTCACATAGCTCGCTGCAGGGTAAAGTTTTTGATGCACAATTTTGATGATTCTATAATTCAATTTTTTTTTTAATCTTTAGAAATTTTTAAAATTTCTGAATTGCTATTAGAAGCGCTCACATTTCAAGTATAAATCTGCAAAAAATCAGAATTTTATATTGTATTCTAGAATTAATACAACGATTAATTTTACGAATCACCCACCTCACAGCGGAATAAAATCGCCGTGTGAATTTAAAATTCTTTTTAAATTTTATTATGCAAAATATGAAAATTTTCCAAAAAATTAGTAATTTTTAATGCCAAGAAATCAATTTTTCTATTATTATTATTATTAATATTCTAGAATTAATACAACGGTTAATGTTACGAATCATCCACACTCTTATAGTGGAATACAATCGCTTCTCTTGCATAAAAATTCATATTTCAACAACCGTTAAAGTTAGCAAATTATTTTTTTTTTAATAACTTTATCAATGTTTTAACTACATTTAAATCGATATATATGTATAGAAATTTTCAATAATTCACATAGCTCGCTGCAGGGTAAAGTTTTTGATGCACAATTTTGATGATTCTATAATTCAATTTTTTTTTTTTAATCTTTAGAAATTTTTAAAATTTCTGAATTGCTATTAGAAGCGCTTACATTTCAAGTATAAATCTGCAAAAAATCAAAATTTTATATTGTATTCTAGAATTAATACAACGATTAATTTTACGAATCACCCACCTCACAGCGGAATAAAATTCTTTTTAAATTTTATTATGCAAAATATGAAAATTTTCCAAAAAATTAGTAATTTTTAATGCCAAGAAATCAATTTTTCTAAAATCTGTTGCAGATACAAACAAAGAAATAATAATAATAATATTTTTGGGACACCTTTTTTTTCAAAAATCACTAATTAATTAATTAATCATATAACTACAACAGAATGGTTAGTACAAGTCAAAAAGATAAACTAAAAGTATACTGAACATAAATTTGCTAAAATATAAGGATGATATTTTTTTTAACAAAATTTGTTAATATTTAATATTTTTTGAATATTTTTTAGTATTTTGATTTGCTAATATTTAATATTTCTATTAAAAAAAAATCAGTAAAAATATTTTAACTCAATGATTTTTTGTTAGATTTTTGCTATATAATAAAAAATTAAATTAAGAGTTTAACCGTTAACTAACCTCACAACCACACAAAATAATTATTTTGACCAAAATAAACATTCGGGATCATATTTAATCCCGAAAGACCAAAATAAACATTCGGTATTAAATTACGAAGAGGTAAAAAAATATTTAGCAAGGTACAAATGAGAAGATTTAATACCGAACGGTTACAGAAATATGAATTTTTTTATTAGTAATTTCAATTTAAAATATAAACACATCCGTGAGGTTACTTAACGGTTAAACTTTTAATTTAATTTTTTATTATATAGCAAAAATCTAACAAAAAATCATTGAGTTAAAATATTTTTATTGATTTTTTTTAATAGAAATATTAAATATTAGCAAATCAAAATATTAAAAAAATATTCAAAAAATATTAAATATTAACAAATTTTGTTAAAAAATATCATCCTTATATTTTAGCAAATTTATGTTCAGTATACTTTTAGTTTATCTTTTTGAGTTGTACTAACCATTCTGTTGTAGTTATATGATTAATTAATTAATTTTTGAAAAAAAATGTGTCCCAAAAATATTATTATTATTATTTCTTTGTTTGTATCTGCAACAGATTGTATCTGCAACAAATTGATTTCTTGGCATTAAAAATTACTAATTTTTTGGAAAAATTTAATATTTTGCATAATAAAATTTAAAAAGAATTTTAAATTCACACGGCGATTTTATTCCGCTGGGAGGTGGGTGATTCGTAAAATTAATCGTTGTATTAATTCTAGAATACAATATAAAATTCTGATTTTTTGCAGATTTATACTTGAAATGTGAGCGCTTCTAATAGCAATTCAGAAATTTTAAAAATTTCTAAAGATTTTGAAAAAAAAAATTTTGAATTATAGAATCATCAAAATTGTGCATCAAAAACTTTACCCTGCGGCGAGCTATGTGAATTATTGAAAATTTCTATACATATATATCGAGTCAAATGTAGTTAAAACATTGATAAAGTTATTAAAAAAAAAATAATTTGCTAACTTTAACGGTTGTTGAAATATGAATTTTTGGATGATTCGTAACATTAACCGTTGTATTAATTCTATATAGAATATTCTATAGAATACAATCTAAAATTATGATTTTTTGCAGACTTATACTTGAAATGTGAGCGCTTCTAATAGCAATTCAGAAATTTTAAAATTTTTTAAAGATTTTGAAAAAAAAATGTTGCATTATAGAATCATCAAAATCGTGCATCAAAAACTTTACCCTGCGGCGAGCTATGTGAATTATTGAAAATTTCTATACATATATATCGAGTCAAATGTAGTCAAAACATTGACACAGTTTTTAAAAAAAAAATGAAGTCGCTAACTTCAACTGTTGTTGAAATATGAAGTTTTATCCAAGAGTCCTGAAATTCCCGCTAGAATAATATAATAATTATATAAATATATATTATAATATAATTATTATATATTATTAATAATTATATATAATAATAATAATTATATATAATAATGTATATTATAATAATATAACTGAAAACAAATTTTCGAACGCAAGAACGAAAAATACGCTCTTCCTGGAATCGATACTTATCGATAACTTTTAAATAATTATCGATAATTATCGATAAGTATCATTAACTTCTCCCACCACAAAATATTTTATGTTTAATAATTTTTAATAATCAAAAATTGATCTTAAAACCATATAATTATTATAATTTTAAACAAATATTAAAAATAAATTTTGGCGTAATTTTTAAACCACTTTATTAAATAAATGAATATCCGAGCACTCGCGGGCCGCGACTCGGAGTCGCGGCTCGCAGCGGCTGCACTTTATCTCTGACTTGTTGAATATGCAGCGAACGAAGATGTTGCGCGTCGAGCTGCCAGAAACCGATATGTTTGCCAATTTGGTCAAGTTTTTTCGTACGTCCAGCGACGAATTCGACGAAAGTCGGTAAATATTTTCAATGTTTTGTTTGCATTTGTTGTTGTTGCTGCTTGGGTAATTGTCCTTGCAACATGTTCTATTGTTTATCGTTAATTTTTAACTTGATTTTTACTCACATAAATTTGGAAGTTAACTAGTTAATATTACTTTTATATCCAGCTTTACGAATTATTTATTGAATTTTAATAATTATTGCATTACTTATTCCCTAATCGTATTTTTAACCACGATTTTTACCGTTTTTGTGGACTGATAAATTTGGCTAATTGTTTAAATATTCCCTATTAACCATAATGTTTGTTTTTCGTCTTATTTGGAATAAATTATATGGAAATTTTAATAAAAACAAGTTTTAAATTTATATGAAAATAAGGCAATTAAAAAAACTATTAAAGAAGTTTGATATAATATTGTAAAATACCGCTAATTAGTAATATTAGCGTAATTTTTTTTTAAATTAAATGTATTAATTTATCTAAGGTAATATATGTATGTACATAATATTAAAATAAACATTTACTTTTAGCAAAGTTTCTGTAACCAGTATTTTATGGAACGCCGTTTTAGTTAATATTATTTGTTTTTTACATTTTTTAAATAAAAATCATTTTTATGATTCTTTATTTATTTTTATTCAATTAATTGATTGTTTAAAATCCTTGCACATTTAAATTGAACGATGAAAAAAATATTTTCTTATTTTTAAATTTTTGTTTTAAATTTTTAAATTTAAATAAGGAATTAAATTTATGATGTATCAAATTAATTCAACAATCATTTTAATTCAACTTACATAAAAATAGCCACCATTTAAATGAAAGAATATAAATTATAAACAAACAATTTAATTTAAACATAATAATGTACCGAATTATTTTGATTGATGAATTAGAATGATTGTTTATTTAAAATGTTTGTTGAAATAAAATGTTACATAATAATTTTAAATGGAATAAATATGATTGTTTAATTAAAACGATTGTTGTATTAAAATGTTACATGATAATTTTAATTGGGCGCTGAAGTTTGCGGACAGCTTAGGTATTAAATTTAGGTCTACGCGTCTAATGTCTATAATTGTTTCAAGATTATTGCTTTGTCTCTTTCTAGAGTTTACATATACCTATAACTATAGTTATAGGTATATGAGAGTGTAGTCGATTTTGTGAGTCTAAAGCGAAGTCAATCACTAAGTCTCTGTAATTCCTGTTTTATCAGCATATGCTGCAAAAACCATAGGCATTAGATGCGTAGACCCAAATTTAATACCTAATCTGTCCGAAAACTTCAGCGCCCAATTAAAATTATCATGTAACATTTTAATGCAACAATCGTTTTAATTGAACAATCATATTAAATCCATTTAAAATTATCATGTAACATTTTTTATCAACAAACATTTTAAATAAACAATCATTTTAATTCATCAGTCAAAATAATTCTCTACATTATTATGTTTGAATTAAATTGTTTGTTTACAATTTTAATTCTTTCATTTAAATGGTGGGTATTTTTATGTTAGTTGAATTAAAATGATTGTTGAATTAATTTGTTACATGATAAATTTAATTCATTATTTAAATATAAAAACTTAAAAGAAAAATTTAAATACAAAGAAACATTTTTTTCATCATTCAATTTAAATGGACAGGGTTTTTAAACAATCAATTAATTGTAACATAATAAATAGACAATCATTTAAATTAATTTATAATTGAAAAATATTTTTTAAAATAATTTAAACCAAAAATAATTTTTATGATTCCTTATTTATTTTGTTACATTTAAATTGATTGTTTTAAAAACTGTGCCATTTAAATTGATTAGTTAAATAAAATGTTTCTTTATATTTAAATTTTTATTTTAAGTTTCAAACAGGCACGTAAAAGCTTTAAATTTAATGTAAGGAATTTAAATTATCAACAATCATTTTAAATCATGTAACATAATAATTCAACAAGCAAAAAAACAACAAACATTTCAATTCAGGAATTAAAACGTTTGTTAATAATTTTAATTTCTTAATTTAAATGTTTGTTATTTTTTTGTTAGTTGATTTAATATGTTACATGATTTAAAATGACTGTTGATAATTTTAATTCTTTAATTTTAATTCAGGAATTAAAATTATCAACAAACATTTTAATTGGGCGCTGCAGCTAGCGGGCGATATGAGAACTACTTAAAAGGTTCACGTGGCAATGTTGCATCTTAAAAATCGCGAAAAGACGTGACCGTTTAGTGAAGGGGTATAATAATTATTATTATAATCAATGGTTTTAACGTTGCATATGCCTATTAGGCACTGCCTAAGGTTACTTTTCTGCGGTTTAATAAAGATGCGAAGTTGCCAAGTAATCTTTTTAAGTAGTATTCACATTGCCCGCCATCTCCAGCGCCCAATTAAAATGTTTGTTGATAATTTTAATTCCTGAATTAAAATGAAAGAATTAAATTTATCAACAGTCATTTTAAATCATGTAACATTTTAATTCATCAGTCAAAATAATTCGCTACATTATTATGTTTGAATTAAATTGTTTGTTTATAATTTTAATTCTTTCATTTAAATGGTGGCTATTTTTATGTTAGTTGAATTAAAATGATTGTTGAATTAATTTGTTACATGATAAATTTAATTCCTTATTTAAATTTAAAAATTTAAAACAAAAATTTAAAAATAAGGAAATATTTTTTTCATCATTCAATTTAAATGGGCAAGGTTTTTAAACAATCAATTAATTGTATAAAAATAAATAAAGAATCATAAAAATGATTTTTATTTAAAAAATGTAAAAAACAAATAATATTAACCAAAACGGCGTTCCATAGTATTTGAATATTTTATTTTATCAAGTGAATTTTCTATTATTTAATTAAAAAAAACTTAACAGTGGACAATTTTATACTTTAAAAACAATGTAAATATTTTTTAATGCTTTAGGGCTTTTTTTTATTTTATCCCTGTTTTAAAGAAAACCATGTACATATTGTAATAACTTTATACTGAGCGTCAATTCTGGATTTTGTAGTGTTATGTAACGTTTTTTAATATATTATTATCTTATTTTTTTATATCTTTAGGTTTAAAAAATAAAATAGGTTACTATCTTAAAAACGTGGTGAAGCATTTTTGTAGGTCATTTTATCATTTACGAGGGTATTTCGCCTGTGACAGATTTGTCGCTATTATAACTGAAGCTATATATCCTTTAGATGGCATTCTTCAAAGTGTAAGACATTTAGAAGATTATTAGCTAAAATATTTATTATAGGTTAAAGTTACAAATGTATATTCAAGTTACAATTGTAACTTTACCTTACAATTATTGTAAGTTCAAGTTACAATTGTAAGTTTAAGTTACAATAATTGTAAGTTCAAGTTACAATTATAGAATAGAAATTGCAAAAATCAAAGTTAGTTTTTGCTAAAACTTGTAAAATTTTTGTTGGCCCTTCTACGCCTTCGAATGTAATCAATCAATATCGTGCAATTCAGATTGATTATTAATATTTAACGAAATAAAATTGTATAGCGGAAGAAACGGCTGGGTGATCGTGTGTTAAATGATTTTCAACCTGTTTAGTTAAGGTCCGATGGACCATAGATAAGGGATAAGTTGGGTGGGCAGGGGTACTAAAATTGCTCTATATATATTTAATTAAAATAACAATGCACACATTATATTGTTAATTGCACCAAAATTGCTCTATATTTAATTAAAATAACAATCGATATTGTTAAATGTTTTTTCTAAATTCTTTACAAGGTGGCTCAAAACTCATATGAATCAGGGTTATAATTTGAATAATTGTAACAACAATTAAAAAACTTTAATTTAATACGTTGGAAACGTGTATTAAAAGCTTCGAATTTATGTTACATCAGTAGCTGAAGATGATGCCATTGACGCTCTGCACCTTGAGGCGAACGGTCGCTTGGGTAAGATCTCTCTTAACGCGCTCGTACTCCATAGTGCGATCACCGCTAAAGTTACTCAAATCAAAAAATTAATAAGGAACAATTTCATCACACCTGCCTTGCAATTCACCCGAAGTCCAAGTCTTTATAAATCAGATAAGTATAATGTACCAAAATTTGGCCCAGTCAATATTTTATTTTTTATAACAATGGTAAGCACAAAAGACAAATTTATTGAATACACCTATTATTATTATAATTTGAGATATTTTTTTAAACATTTTTTTATAAAATTAATATTAGAAAACTAAAAATATGCCTAGAACACTAAATTAAATAATATAACAATGAATCTTTTGGTTTGGCCCATGTAATAAACGTAGCTTTTTGATCATCATATTAGCCTTGAGTCGATTGTTGTTAGTGACACATTATCAGTTAATTGTCAGTATTTTAGTTTAAAAAAATGGTGCGTGTCAAAGCTTTATCTAACGATTTACCTAAAGCTATTGTTAATTTATACAATGCTGGTAATTCTTGTGCTAAAATTGCTAACCAACTGCAATTATCACGTATCACAGTGGTCCAAAAGCCCAAAAACATGGTCAAAATATGAAGGTTTAGTTATATGTTTACCAAAACAGGGACTTAAACATTTTTGGGGTCACTGATTACGAATTTGATATCGTTTTTTTCAAAAATTAAATGGCGGATCCAATATGGAGGACATTTTTTTAACAAATATCCTGATATCTCTTACATTTAACAACGTGTGGTTTTTGAGGTCGCTAATTACGAATTTTATATTTATTTTTTTAAAAACAAAATGGCGGACCATTATGGAGGACATTTTTTTTTCAAAAAAATGTTCTGATATCGCTCAAATTTAGCAACCTGTGTTTTATGAGGTAGCTGATAACAAATTTGTTTATAATTCCAAAAACAAAATGGCTTACCCAATATGGCCGACATTTTTCAAATAAATTTAGACTTTTTTTGGTTTATGGGATTAGAAAACACATTGAATTTAAGATGGATAAACAAAATAACGATGCAAAATAAATATTTATTCAATGATTTAAAT